TAATATCCTTATTAATGTCTGTATTGTGTCAACTTGATCTTTGTGTACCCTCCCCGATTTCCTTTGGCCGTTGCCACCCAGCCCACGGTGGCAACTGGGCATTCCTGTTATGCTGGGGGTTACAGCCTGAGCCTCTTGTCCTGACGTTATGCTTGCTGATCGATCAATTCATGACGTGATCCCAATCTTTTTAGCAAGTGCTTTTGAACATACTCATCATCATTCTGGAAATTTGTATCAAATTTTCTGGTGCTGCCACTATGCTGGTGCTGAGGGAAATGTAGAAGCAGATACTTGGAATGACATAAAATTTTCATAATGTGATTCTTATAATCACAGATACAGTTGGGTTCCTCTAATATTTCTTTACATGTGGTTGAGGTACTGTGATTATGAAAATATTCTTTGTTGGGAATAGTAAGGTTTTGAATTCAGTATGGCATGTGTAATAGTTGTAAGTACTCTCGTATTTGGGTTCATGTGGGTTACATTTTGGGGTTGAGTAACAGCCAAGAAATATATAACAACACAATTGTCTGATTTTGCTCCTTATAATTATACATTCTGTGTTGCAGAGACCAACTATTAGCAGTGGATCCCTGTAGAAAGTGGATGGGGGTGAATAACCAGGGGACAAATCAGCATTCTATGATGGTGGTGGACTTGAGTTAGTTCTATGAAAAAGTGGATCAGCAGAAGAGTGAGACGCAGCACTAGGTTTGAGTCTAAGCAACTGTGTGACTCTGGGCAGCCAGCTTTCTCCCTCTCTCTCAGTTTTCGAATCTGCTAGATGGTCATAAATGCACTTTCCCCATGACCGCTCACAAAATTTGTATAAAGGTAAACGGGTCCCTCTATGGGATGGTGCTTTGAAAGTGAAACGCATCATACGAGCTGCACTGTCTGCACTTAACACAACGCGCTGCACTTCTGTGGCCCCCACATCACAGATGCCAGAACTGCCAGCTGCTGTGGGCAGCACTTGGGGTAAAGGAAAAGGTTTGGTCAGGTGGGCCCAGTTGCTAAATGAGTACTTAAAAAATATTTTATTTATTTATTTTTAGAAAGAGGGGAAGGGAGGGAGAAAGAGAAGGAGAAAAACATCAATGTGGGGTTACCTTTCATGTGCCCTCCACTGGGGACCTGGCTGCAACCCAGGCATGTGCCCTGACTGGGAACTGAACCACCGACTGGTTCGCAGGCTACACTGAATTCCTGAGCCACACCAGCCAGGGCCAAATGACTACTTTTAGTATGGTAGAAAGGAAGTGAAATTCCACAGGAGTCTCCACTCCTCTAGTTTAGGGTTCTTTCCATGGCTTGATTTAAAACTTACTAAAAACAAACATTCATGTATTACAATTCAAAATTGAACTACCTGAGTGGCTTGGGGTAAAAGGGAGACAGAGATGAGGAAGAGGAAGGCTCACATTTCTGTGGTGATACAATAGTTTTCCAAAACGGAAAACGATGAATGCTGAACTAACGGAAATGGTGTGCTACGACCCACTGAGCTCCTGCCTCTGGGAACCAACTAGAATTTTGCAACGGTCTTTGGTTCTCTCCATCTCCAGGCTGTTGGATGCCGCAACTTCATGGAATAAACACTGCTGTGTCGTTTCTGTTCAGTTATGTTTGCATTTCAGTTACTAACGATGATGTCCGTCTGCTTCTATTTCATTCACAGTGAAAACTTTGGGGTGAAAAGTCCCTTGATTGGATGAAAAGGAAGAGCACCAAAACGGCAGGATATCTGTGCCCGTGCCAGAGGGGCGAGTGATGCCGGGTGATTTTCCAGCAGGAGGGACAAAATCGACTCAAGTTATCACCGCCTTTTGCCTATGACTTCTTGTGAGTGAGGGCACAGATTATAAAAACAGCAACCCGGATCAGGAATCCTAGCTCATCAACTGCAAGCAGATTTCTGGGTGCGTTACATGTTCCTGTCAGGTTGTCGATATACCCCGCTTTGCCTGGGACAGTCCTGGTTTGGGCATTGGCCCACAGTGACTATAAGAGCACCTCCTCTCCTTCCTAAGGTATCCAGATTTGGGTGATGAATTGTGTGGTCACACGCCCATGCGGGATGCTGAGCGTGCAACCTGGGTATTCAATCCCTGGGCCCTCACTGACTGGGAGGCCTGGTCCAGGAGACACGCACCCGCTACCCATGCAGGATGTTGGGTGGACCTAGAATGCTTTGATGATGGTCGATGTGTCAGTCTGTGCTCTGTCTTTGATGATGTGTCCCCAAACTCAGTGTCTCACTAAATGTCCTCCGTTCGCTTTCTGGCTGCAACATTTCTATTTGGGAAAACTGCCAGAATTGTCAGCCAGTAAAGACTTCAGCCCTTTCTTTGCCAATTTGCCAAAAAAGCACTGGAGAGAGTTATTGATCTTTTCCCTTACACTCATTCAGCTCATTTCCACCCTTTCCTTTTTTTTCTTCTTCTTTACCTGACATCCAATAAAAACTCTTTCTTCCGGGTGCCAGCAATATGTCAGCGCAGCACCATTCACGGTAGGAGTTGCCGTTTCCCCCTTTTTCACTACAAAGACTCTTTTCTTGGTTCTACTGACAGCACAGGTAGCTGTCAGGCTTGCTTCCCTTCTGCATTTATTCTCTGAGTGGCGATAAGCCCTGATTGGTCCACAGGACTAAATCCCACTTGGACGGAACCTTAGATATTATTGCCGGTTTGCACAGGCTTTTAATTTTTTTCCTTTTAATTACACAGTATACAAGTTATCAGGGCAGTCTTATTTTATACTTAATTTGTAAAAGGAAGCCTAGAAGATTAGTCAGGGACATTTAAGTAGCTAATTAGTTTCTCAATGGGAGTAAATTTTGGATTTGGCCTTCAGAAATACAACTGTTCTTTCAAAGTCGGACACTGACTAGTGCCATGATGCCCACTGTGCCAGCTCTTCACCTGCAGCCTTTTCTTAGCTGGGGTCTCAGTGTCGTGTTGTTCCATTAGGTAAGATAAAAGAAGGAGGCCTCGAGAACGGCAGTGGAATTGCTGGAGAGACGGGCAAAGTCGCTGCAGTGACAATATTTAGGACATTTGGGAAGCTGTTAAGAACAGATAGTGGCAATGGTTAGCATGTGCTGGTGAGTACCACACAAATGGAGGGGTGGGCTTGACAAAGTTGCAACTTCTTTTGGGGAATTATCCTGAATACAGCAACCTCCCGCCAGTTGAGTGATGCTTGAATGCAGTGACCCATGGGGAGCTCCATGGTGAGAACAAAAATATGGACCGAGAGACACAGAGAGATTTCTGCATCATTCTCACTTGACTGAGGATCAGCATGAGGGCTAAGACCAATGTCACATTTCCTACTTCGACAGTGGAAGGAGCTCCTTGGGTAAGTGCCTGGCTTGTCAAACAGCCACTTGTGAACTTCCGGTCACCTTTGAGCCTTCTCATGCTGCTTCATAGAATTTCAGTCCACAGGGAGGCACACCAGGAGTCCTTGCCTTTTATTCCCTTTATCCCCTCTTCCTGCCCAGTCCCAGTGTGGGTGGTCCTGGGAGCTGGGCTCCTGAGGTTATGAAAGTCAACTAGTAGGAATTCCTGGGTGTTAGGAAGGGAGGAAAGAAGTGTTGATGGGGTGATATATTACGTAATTTACACATTGATATATGCATTCTAAAAATGTGCCTGTTAAATTTTCATAATTCTAAAATGGGAATGGAACCAAAATGTTTAGTCAGACATGACAATTATAGCTAACATTTATTGAATGCTTATAATAGGCCCACTACTGTTCTAATTGTTTTACATGGATTAGCTAATGTAGTCCTCACAATAGCCCAGTGAGACCATTATTATCACCATTTACAAAGCAAAAAAATAAGCTGTGAGGGTGGACCACATGAGCAGCAGCAGCCGTGGGAGGGCAGAGTCAGCGTTGGGACCTGAGTCTCCACTGCACCCCCCTCCCCATCAGTGCTCTTCAGGGGTGCTGGCCCTGTAATTCCAAAACGACTCCAACTCTTGCCCTTAACTTTGAAAGAGTTTTGGAAGAACTGATCTTATTCTTCATTAATAACACCCCTTGAGTTTCTTGCCCTAGAAGTATTAATAATCAGAAAGGAATATTTTGGAATGGATTATGCCTGGGTATTAATCACCTTGCTTATGCATGCATTAGTTTCCCAGGGCTGCTGTAATAAAGTACCACCAGCTGGGTGGCTTAAAACAATAGAAATTTATTTTTTCACACTCCTTGAGTCTAGAAGACTAAAGTCACAGTGCCCACAGAGCCATGGTTCCTCTGAAGGCTCTGAAGAAGAATCCATCCCTGCCTCTCCTGGCTTCTGGCTGTTGCCAGCCATCCTTGACTTTCCTTGGCTTGTAGATGCATCACTCCCATGTCTGTCTCGATTATCACATGGCCTTCTGTGTGTGTGTGAGTCTACACTTTTCTTTTCTTACAAAGAGAAGGGTTAAACCCCATCCTAATCTGGTATCAGCTCATCTTAATCCGGTTATGTTTGCAAAGACTCTTATTTCCGGTAAGTCACATTTGCGGGTACCAGGGATTAGGACTTGACCATCACTTTTGGGGGGACACAATTCAACTCATTACAATATATGTACCTGCTTAGCCCCTATTATTCTAATTTGAGAACGAATAAAGAAACATGTTTTCCCCATGCAATTATTTCCATAACACATGTGAACAATTCTTTTATTTCCTCCTTCCAACGGCATCTACCAGCAGGTGTTTCTTCTACAATAACAAGCAGGTAAACACCTCACTTGAAGGGCCTGAGATCTAAGGGGTGGAGCCGTTCTCGTGATAGATTGTTTATAGCAGGCCCTCCTTCCTCTCTCCTCTGACCTGCGTTTCCATGATTTGCCCATGGTAGTTAAAATAATAGCATGGGCGTGTTTGTGTGGGTGACGTTTTCAGTCATCATTGCATAGCAAGGGTTTCTTCACATCATCATAAAAGCTTCAGTTATTATTCAACCCACCTCAGAGTATTTCAGCCAATAGAAGATGCATCATTTAAGCATTCACATATTGGACACTTAGGTTGTTTCCATTCTTTTTTTTCACTTCAGCATTTCCATGAACATTTGCGCACATGCCTCTTCCTTTGGACTGTTTGTAAGAAGAATTTCTAAAATGGTATGATATTTTGATATATTTTGCTGGCCTATAGTTTGATGCAGAGTTGCTATGAACCTTGTAGCACAATCTCTCCACAATGCTGTTATCGGCAAGCTTATCATTTAAAACTTGGCTTTAAATGGTCTTTTGTTGTTTTAATTTTAATGTCGTTATTATCATGGCTGAATACTTTTCAAATGCATTTCTTCTAAATATTAAAATCGAGGAACAGAAAAACCAGAACAGCTTATCTTTCTTTCACAGTTGTTGACAACACTTGAGAAGGAAGTCAGATTTAATAAATTGCATAACCCAGTCCTTAAAGTTTCCTGAGGTTGATATGGCTGCAATAATTTAATTTTTGTTTCAAATGTTCACACTTCAACTTTACAATTAAAATAGCTGGAATTTGGAAAATGTGTGTTGGTTTTATTAACAAAATTTTAAGTTTGTGAGAAAAAGTCTCAGCATATGTAACTTATTTTAATGCAATAGCATTAGTTCAATGTCTACTCTGCTTGGTGATGTTTTTCTCCTACTTCACCATGGTAAACACATGTCCTAAATATACTCACTATAAACTTATTGAATGGAAGATGATTCACCTCTTAATTGATTCATAAGTATTTGCTTAAATTAGCTTCAGTAAATAAAATTACCAGCTTATCACTCACTTTTCTAAAATGACTGCTTCTAAATTAATTTGCAAGTTTATCAAATTGCATTACGACTTAAAAATGTGTACTAATTCACATACATTAAGAATTTGCCTTTATATCAGATTTCTGAAATGTATACATTTAAGATCCTAGATATAATTAAAGGAGATATGTTATATTTCCTTTATAAAAATATACATCCTTAGTGATATGTGTTAAATCACCTCTGCTGTACAACAGTTACTTACTGTAATTGAATCCAGGAGTGTTCTGCTGAGGGCTGGCTGGCAGAGGGGGAATTCATTTAACAAGTACCATTATACTTTAATTTACATTAATTATCTTTTACAGAAAGCATGGAGTTGGTCCCAAACTCAGAGTCAGCCTGGGTACTCAGTCCTGTATTTACTTAAGGCCAGGTTCCTTCCTGGCTTCCACCCATATATCTGATATGGCCTGAGACTCAGGGGTTCTGGCCACTGGCAAATTGGACAGTGACCTCAAGCTCCAGCTATTGAATTCAGGATTTAGTAGGTTTTGATTCTGGTCATCTTCTGGCCCTATTCTGGTCATCTTCTCCCTAGAACAACACTACAGAGCCAAGCAATCAATGCTTTATGAGCTAATTTTATATGTTTGTGTATACACATATACACATATACATGAGTATGTATATTTTTAGAAATTTTTTCATCTTTTTTCTCTTGCTACAATTCTAAAGTGGGTAGATAGCCAAATATTTGTTATAGAAAAAGAAAAAGAATACTAGTAAAACCAATTTCAATTGCTTTGGTCCAAAACTGAGTTGCATGATTTATTCTTTGACCAGATATCTGCTTGTTTAAACAAGAAATGTTGGTTGAAGTTTTGGTGCAATATTTCATCACTCAGGGTATTGGATTGGATTGGAACCCAAGAGAGAGCAGAGTTGCTCTGCATGAGAAATGAAGGTGACTTTGTGTAGGGCTGAAACCTCAAAGTGGGTGGTGGGGATGCAGAACCAGAGGGGCTTTATGAAGTCCGAGGAGACATTGAGCCAGGGAGAAATTTCCATTAGTGGTGATTAACAGAAGGAATGAAAAAGACAGACAATGTCTAACATTTAATATTAAGTTGTTACTTCATGGTGTTGCTATTTCATTCCCTCCCATCTCTCCAAGTCTTTGGGAATAAAGGGAAATAGTCTGTGTTTTCCATCTGGGTTGACATGGGGACAGTGGATAGAGAACAGACAAAAGATATTCTATTTCTTGAGAAATAATAACCTGGTTTTATTGACCAAAGCACAAGCCATCCCCTTTCATGAACTCTCTTTATTACAAAGAGTTCCTGCATTAGCCGAAAAGGCTTCTGCGTCAACACTATTCCCAAATCATTTTGTGTGGTCCCCAAATGGCTCATCTAAGAACAGGCAGGCCTCGCCCCAGGTCTTCACCACGTAAGCCAGGACCAGCAGGCTGCAGAACCTTCAGCCTCATAGCCACCGACAGGGTGCACGCAGGTTGCCGACCACCTTGGACCACCACAAAGGATGTGGAATCCTCCTGTGGCTGGACCTTCACACCTTCCTGCTTACACGTGGGCTGCTCCTGGCCACATGGAGCCTGCTGCTCACCAAGATCCCTGCCTGGGACAGACTGGCACTTGGGCTCTGTTCTCTCACTTATCTGATTATTTCTTCCTTATGCTTCCCTCTAGGTTTAAACTCTAGGTTTTTTTTAAAAATTTACTCCCATATTTATCTCTAGAGTACCGGGTGTTCACCCATGTTCCCATGATGAATATTTTGCCTTTGCCCACAGTTGGACTAAATTCTCAGTCTTAGCCTCCTCAGAAGGACCATCAGAGGTGTCGTCTTAAATATGAAATAAACTAGGACTCAAACCTGATAAGCTGGACTCACCAAGACCCAGCCCACCTAAGCTGCATCTTACCTGAAGTACAACTGGCTTCCTTGTCTCACTGTCCACCGTCCCTAATACCTTGCAAATAAAAAGCACTCAGTGTATATTTCTGAATAAATGGATGAATGTTTTATTTTGATGGGAAAACAAAGGAGAGAAGAGAAATGACAGAGGCATACCGGTTGAAAAGGAAAGCTATTAAAGCTCAATGTATTCATTTGTCTTTTTACCTAAAAGGCAGTAAAAGATTGCCTGTTAGAAGAGACACTCAAGGCCGGATGAGATGCCAAAGGGACTCTTGTACAGTGTTTCCTGATATCCTTAAGCTTGTCGTAGTTCCCCCTGGAGCATCTTTCTTAAAGTTCAAAGGCATCAATTATAGATGCAGGGGGAAAAACACAAAAAGAGAAACAAGAACATGAGCAGAGTTATATTTGGCAGAAATTAAGTACATATAGAAATTCATTAGTGAGCTCCCTGGCTTCCCCACAGGTTCCTGTTCCATATAAATCACACTCTAAATTGTCCATTAGGCATATGGTAGAGGGGTTTTGCAACCAGCAAGCAAACAGGGGGCTAGGATTTTGGTTTGGTCCATTCTCTGCAAATTGTATAATCTTACCCACCAGCTTCTTGAAGTCCTGGTTGCCTCATTTGGATATTGAAAATAATAAGTGTTGTCCTATCTGCTTCCAAAATTTTTTTGAGGATCAAGATAAAGATAATAGTAACTAGTTATTATTAATTATACTTCTTTAATAGAGTTGTCTTTGATGAAAAATTGAGTGGGGCATGGTCCCTCCCCAATCCTGGGCTGAGGGTCTGAGATTTCTCTGGGAGAAAGGGCCAAATGAGAATGTTAGATCCAGTGCAGAAGATGGGGTGAGAAGAATCCTGGTCAGTTGTACGTCGATGAAAATCTTGTCATGGTTGTCATTTCTCCTGGAACAAAGAGAGCACTCTAAGGAAAGCAATCTAAATGCCACTTTAGGTTCTCTCGCAGATGGAGGAACCTGTGTCCAAATCTTTCTAAACCTCAGTTACCTTATGTGTAAAATGGCAAAAATATCAATTCATATGCACATTTTCTTTTTTACTATTTCTTATCTACTAGACACCTTCTAGAATTTCTTAAGATTACTGTAACTTTGTTTCACTTTTTGTGCAAAGGTGTGTATATTAAGGTGTGTTTGTTTGTTTTCTATCCAGTCCTTTTACAAGAGACTCAACACCCATCTGTCATTTTTCCAGGGTATTTTCCCAGGCTTCCCCCCTCACTCTGCCTGTCCTTTCAACTTTTAAGATTCTCCCAAGATATAGGGAGTGCAAAAAACTGGGCAAAAATGTTTGTTCTATGCCCATTTTAAGTCTTTCTTTCCTCCAGCTAACACTTAAGTGTGGTTCTAAGCATGAGTTTAATTTTCTTCATCTTTGTTTATCTTTCCCAAGGTTTAACAGCAAAGTTTCCCTATGTTCCACCACCTCCATCTCTGCCACTCCCCAGCCGAATGCTGGCAAGCAGTCCTAGTCTACGGGAACAGAAATGTTGAAGATGCTGTGAAGCCACATGGAAATAAATTGGTGAAGACCAGAACTTTGTGGAAGAGAAACTAGTGTATTTACAAGGTTTGTTATATTTGGCTTACCTGTAGTGGTATATTCTCATGGGGTGAGGCAGCTGAATCTAGACAGGAGGCCTGGTGGCCTCTAGTGTACACACTGGAAGCTGACATTGGGGACATCCTGGTGTCCGAGGAGCATCAACTACAGAAAACTCAACACACCAGGGAGAGAGGAACTGCGTCCTCTCCTTCTCGGCAGCCCCTGGACATTCCGGTGCGTCTCTTAACCTACGGGGGTGGGGAATCAGACCCACTTTCTTAAGGCAATGACCTCACTTCAAAGTCAACTTCAAACTTATCCATAAACTTTCGGACTTCTCACCATGATGATTTGACAGAGACTTGGCAAACTAAATGACAAAGATTATGTCTCATTTTGAGTCCAAGGTCATGGTCAGTGTTCGGTGAAGGCAGTTTGTACTCATGTTTCAAAGGCTAAGAGGGAAGCATTCACTCAGGCAGTGTCTCTGTGACTTTTGGAGTATCTCTCGACACCTTGCTACTTTCCCAGAGTCCACACCTGAAGGGCAGGTGAGGACAACATGGACTTCTTGTTTCAGCTTTCCTGAATGTTGAGCACTAGTCAGAGGATCATATCTGAATTCATAGCACACACATGCACATCGGCATAGTCACTTATACGAATAATTACAACACATATATTTCTTTTCACACTGACCAAATACTAATTTAAACAAGAAAGCAACACCTAGAAAATAATTAAATTGGCATTGATTATCCACATTATAAAATGTTCTATTCTTTGGCTTTAGAGAAGAGCTCGAGTTTGGGAATCTTTCAGACTCCCACCATGTATTAGGAGTAAGTCACGTACAATAGAGCTCTAATATTAGCAGTGGATCTTACATAAGAACTGAAACAAAGTTAGAAATGAAACAATTTCATGGGAACGTGAGGGGGTTGGAAATATTTTTAAGAGAATGTTTCTCATTGTTGCATGGGTAGTGAGAGTCACTGCCAAACTGTGGGCCAAACGAGAGAATTATGAGAATTATGCAACGGGAGGAAAGAAATCAAACATGTAACATAATTTCAACTCTATTGTTATCTGAGTTCTTTTTTTTGAATTAATAATAAAATTGAGCAGGTGGAATGAGTCAGTTGATGACTCAGGAAGGCCATAGGAAACTTAAAACGGTTAAGCAAACACTCTTCCTTGCCACGAATTTTGGTTTCTCTAAATGGTCTTTCAACAGAAAACTTAATCTGCCAGAAGATCTGTACACTGGGGTTACCAGCAAGTACCCCCCGCACACACCCCAACTGACTCTAAACCTCTGTGAAAATGATTAATCTCTAGGACAAGTTGTTCACACAACTTCTTTCACATTCAGGAAAGCAAATAATTTTAGGGAGCTGTCTAGAAGTGCCCAGGAGACACGGTGCTGGCGGGGTGCTGGGGAGATGACCGGGGAAGTGGCCTCTAGCGTGTCGTTAAGTGAGACAGCGAACACCCTGGGTTCAGGCCTTAACTCTTTCTTCCTAGTGCTTCACGTGATTTTTGTAACTCATCTCCCTGCTAGAATCTCCCTCCCGTGTTTCCACTTCACTGCCTCAAAAGGTATCCTTCTAAATTGTTACTGATACTATTAGCAAAATGTTTTCTGTCTTGAAAAGGTCCAACTTATCTTTCAGTCTTTTTTATAATTAATTTGCATGCTCTTTTTACAGGTTCTCAAGCCAGCGCACAATGAAGTCTTTTCCTTGGGACCATGACCCTGTGCGGACTCACCTCTGTGCATGGAGTGTCTGTTTTTGCTGTGGTCTGACCCCGTAAGTGTACCCGCCTTGGTGCAGAGGTTTACAGACTAAGCTCCCGGCTTCCTGGGAGCCCACAGAAGTTTCTCATCGGTGGCCGACCCTCCTGCCTGCTTTACTCATAGCAGATCAATTTTTTTCAGCTTTATGTGGGGAACAACCATGTACGGTTCCGTTGGACTAAATACGCTCTGCTGCTGAACGATAACGCAAATTGAAAAGTGCTGGCGAAGCTGAAGTCGATCATCGTTTTTGGAAAAATAGCTTCCAATGTCTGTTTTGTTAAGTGTGGTTAAACATCACCAGCATGAAAGCATTGGAAAGGTAGCATTCGTTTAACTGGTTTTTACATCTTGTGAATCAGTGCAAAGGAAATAGGTCACTGCATGTTTTCCCGGTAGCCAAGCTACATTTTGATACTTTATGTGCGAGTTTGGAAGGCTGAGAAGCATGAGGCGGGCAGTGATTCAGAACCAAGGGGTTTAGGAGGCGCTCAGCTGCCGAGTTGCCGTGGTGACCTGAAGAAGACAACCTGCTTACCTGCTTCCTCACTTCTCACTGCTGCAAGGATAGGCACAGACGCTGAGGCTGAACTGGGTGCCTTAAACTCTACTTTCCATTAGGTAAGCGTAAATGGAACTATTTTTCCTTTTCTACAGGATATGAGATGGCTGAGCCTCAGTGTGGAGGTTTTGAACACAGCTGCATGGCTGGGCTTTGGCAAAGCCTATGGAGAAGCCCTTCCACCACACAGGTTTCCCTTTTCCTCAGTGTCGGGCCATCGCTGCCTCCTTCCTGGTGAAAACTGGTTCCCCGCCTTAACATTCCTTCCCCTTTGCTTTCAACAGATGTTCTCAGCGGCAGCCCTTGTCCTGTATTTCTGACATGGGGGCACAAAGTGGGACTGCCTCTGCCTCCCACCATGAGCCCGGGCTCCATGGCCCCCGTCCACCTGGAGCTGAGCCAGGTCCTGAGATGTGGGCTTTCAGAGCCTAAACCAGGAGGGTCCCAGTTCCCTCTCATCGTCCTCTTTAGCTCAACTTAGTTCCTTTCAGACTCTGTCTTGACTCAAGACAGTTCACCCGGGACCTGCTAAGTGGTGCGTTGTAATAAGGCAGTCCCCAAATTCTAGATCTCTCCACTGAGCCGTACAGATTCTCAGCCCAAGCATGGCTCTGCCTGGGTGATGCTCACTGCCACCACCTCTACAGAAGCCTGTGGGAGCTGAAGCGTCAGACTGCAAATTCCTCTGCCCCTGCTCTCGTGGTCTGGTCAGTAGTTTTGTGGCTGCGACTCCTGGTAGTGACCCTTGACTTGGCAAATCCTGCTTCCTTACTCCTACGGTGATGCCCTGGAGGAGGTCCCTCAGTGCACACACAGACACACCATCCATCAATGGCCAGTGAATGAGTTAATATCAGGGATTAATTAAAACATAATAATAATCTTGAAATTCAAATGCAAACCCACCTCTCTGCCCTTTAGCAAGAATGAAGTGCCTTGGAATCAACAAGGAAGAACTCGACGTCCGTGGAATTTTAAGGTGTTCTAATGCTGGCAAGCTGTTTCAGTTCACCTCCGTGACCTGCAGCTTACCTTCTGGCCAGGTGACGGTGAATGGTGGCAGTTTTCCAGAGATGGGTTCTCTGAGCTGTGAGTAGTATTGGTTTAAGATCCTACTGTGAGCAGGGGGAACTGCAGGCGTTTTGTGACAAGGTTCTTACAAACAAGGAGAGGGACACTGAAGGGCACTAATGCACTCAATCTCTCGGGAGCAGCGGCCGCTGCATCACCCCCCATTTGTTCGTTCACGCCTTCATTCACTCCACAAATATTTTTTGAGCCAATGCCAGGCATTAGCCCAGGCACTGGGTATGTGGCAGTAGGAAAAAAGAGAAAAAATATCCCTGTCTCTATGGAGCTTCCCTAGGAGGGGAGAAAGGCTCAATAGACAAAGAGATATAAATGCTGTGGAAAAAAGTAAAGCTGAAGGGGAAAGGACGTGCTGGGGGAGGGGCTGCAATTTAGAGAGGGCAAAGGGCACTCTCAAAGAGCAGGTGACATTTCGGCAAAGACTTAAAGAAGTAAGAGAGCAAAGGGGCATGGGCTGGTGGAGGAGGGGCTTCCCGGCAGGGAGGAAGACTAAGGCATGGCTCCCGCGGGCAGAGCTGCCTGGAGGGAGAGTTAGAGGACCCGGGAGAGGCCAGCGGGGCTGGATCGGAGTGGAGAGGGTGAGCGAAAACAGCCTCTTTTATGCCGCCTGCCCAAGGCTGGCCCAGCAAGGCCCCAGCCCTTCTGCTTTGGCTGCACTGCAGTCCTTACCCTGGGGGCCTCTCCCTGGTCCCACTGTGGGCCTTGGAGCTCTCACCTGGCAGTTGGTGACCTGGGCTTAAATCCCTGCCTTGTCCTGAATTCACAGAGGCCTCGTGACCTCTTCTGGCCCAGGTGGCTTCATCATGGGACAGAAGATTGGACTTGTTGATTTCCATCTCTTCTCAGCACTGAAGTTCTAGTGTTCTTTTAAAAACTCACTTTAATATATTAGCATTTGATTTCATATGCTAATGTGCCCTTTCCTAAAGAACTTATTATAAAAGTTTTCTTTTTTTTTACCTACAACATACAAGTGAAAAACAAAAGCTTTTGAGCTATAGTAAAATGTATTAAATTTTATTATGACTATTATTCTGTTTGCAAATTTATATTTAAAAAATATTTATTTATTTTTAGAGAGAGGAGAAGGGAGGGAGAAAGAAAGGGAGAGAAACATCAATGTGTGGTTGACTCTTGCGCGTCCCCGACTGGGGACCTGGCCCACAACCCAGGCATGTGCCCTGACTGGGAATTGAACCAGTGACTCTTTGGTTCACAAGCTGGTGCTCAATCCACTGAGCTACAGCAGCCAGGGCTATGTTAACAAATTTATAGGAAATGATTTGTGGGCTGAGAAGAGGAAAAGTTTAGTCTTTTCTATCTTCCTATACAACCATTAGATACCTTCACATCTATCAATTCATTTTCTAACCTCAAAATAGGTGAAAGAAGGTAAAGAAAATAACAGTAGTGAGTTTGACAGCAGAGGAAATGGAAAGTGGTCAATTTTAGGACATCACTCACCCAGCTAATGGTAGAAGCAACATTAGAACCAGTGTCTCTGGGAGTGTGAGTCTTATGACTGTTTCTCCCTCAAGCTGCCGTGAGAACCACAGAGACATTTAATAATAACATGTACAGACATTGCCACCGAAATAACACTGAGGAAGCTGATGGACTAGCTTACGTCCGGCCATCCTTCATTCCAGGCTGTGTTGTCCGTCGCTACACCGCACCCCATCCCACCACGAGCTACCTCCGTTCATTTCACCCCTAAAACCCTGATGAGCACCCAAGTTTCCCACCATCCAGGGGGGAAACAGTTAAGGTAAAATGTCATCTCTGCCGTAGGTGAGGTGTGAGCGCTGGGCACCAAACACAGCTGAGGGAAGACATCACCACTCTGGTTCTGGAGACAGGAGGCTGCACAGAGAAGATGATACTTCAGCTGACTTGGAGCAGATGAGCAGGAGTTTGCCAGGCACAGAAAAGAGCAAATGGCATCCAGGCAGGCTCATGACATACAAAAGCATGTGTGTGGGAAAGCGCGTGGTACTTACGGAACCTGCGGTGCTTGGGCGTGGGGAGAGCCAGCAGTGAGCTCAGGGTGGAAGGGACATGAGGCCCGAGGAAGTGATTTGAGAGAAGTGTCACATGTTAAATTTCACATATTTAACATCAAGGGGTGAGGCAAAGTGGAAACGTCACCTATGGGGGGGAAATCTGGTCCTTGGGATATCTTCTACCTTTTTCTTGGGTTTGAAAGTGAACTTGAGGAATCTCTCATTTCCTGCCCTCCCTTTGCTCCCACATCCTGTCCTGCCTCTGCTCAGCTGCTCTGGGTCCCTGCAAGCCTTTTCTCCCCCTTTCTTCCTCCCGGCTTTCCTCCTGGGATGGACTCCTTGGATAGAGCACAGACCTACACTTATTTCTATTTCAGTCCCTTTGTCTGCCAGAGCCCAGGGGGGAGTGCTAGGCTGCATGGACGCTTTTCCTCCGGGGACTCCACCCCCTCTGAGGGAAATGTGTAAAGGAGACACTTCCCCTGGGGGCGGGATGAGTGTGGCCAGACACCACTCCCCTGCCCCTCCCCCCCCACTGCCCCGGGCTCGGGAAGGAGCTCTGGCTGCGCGTTTCTGAAGAGAAGACTTAATTTCTGAGCCTAGAAAATGTACCTGACTCCTAGACCCTGAAAATACTCTTCCAAGATGAAAAAAAAAATCCTTCTTTTTAAATGGGGTAACATCTCTGGAGTACATCGTTCCCAAAATAAGATCCTCCGATTTGGAAAAATCTAGCTGAAATAAATGAAAATAACAGATGGAAGAGAAATAACAGAAGCCATCCAAAGAACAGCAAGAGAGATGAAGCAGGGAATCATCTGTCTAGAAAATGGTACTCAGTTGTACTTTTGAAATTAAAGGTACATTGACTTCTGAAGAGACTGCGATTTTTCTCTTGACAGTTCCCCGTACACATTATGTCCTTTCTGGGCCAAGGTTAGCGCAGGAGAGGTACAGTTTGCTTTTCTATTCCTGCTTCTCCCATTCGGGCGGTTTCCATCTGTTCAAAGGCGTTAAGATCAATGGTGCTGGTCTCCTGGATAAAGGTCTGGGCTCTTGGCAGAGTGCTGGATAAATAGGACGCCATGCAATTAGCATAGGGATGTTTAATAACAGATCATTTGTATCCTTTTAGGTTACTCTGAGCACAACTGTGGGCAAAGGGGGCCTCCTGGGCAGCCCGCAGAGCACCCACAATGGCAGGGCTGGGTGTCTGCTGCTCTGCTCAGCCCGGGGGGCTCTGCGGTGGGGGACAGAGAGCTGCCCTGGTGTGCCGCTCATCTTGAAAAACACAATTCTTCTCCCTCATTGACATCGGAGCCTGTGGGCTGGGTAATTCATTATTCCATCCCTGTTCTATTCTTCCCTGTGAGGCAGGACACTGCTGACTGTGTTTCCTTCACCTTCCTGATGTTCCCTGAAGGACTCGGAGGGGCCCAGTCCCTGGGAGGCCGCAGATTAGGGTTCTGTCCCTGGCTGTGCGGGCACCCTGTCCAGCTGCTGCCCCCTCTTTCTGGTTGCTGAGAGGTGTTTTTACAAGGAAAGAGATGGAGGCTTTGGTCAGACAATCTAAGTCTTCGATCCAATTTCTAACTTCAATCTCTGCTCTGTTTGTATAGTCTAAGGGAACTGCATGTCTCACTTGGTTTTAAGTTTAGGGAGAGCTGGTCACAGGCCATTAGCATTTTGTTCCCATCCACTCCCGCTTCTTCCAGCTCTGAGCCTCATCAGAGTCAAAGGACGGCCTGGCAAAGGCCTTTGTGGCCTGAAATCTCATCATTGAAAATGTCCCTGCTGAAGGAGAAGGGAGGGGAGGGGAAGATGTGTAAGGACCCCCTCAGCACCCTATTTCCCATGAGAACTTGCACCTTCCATTCTTATATGAGAATGTCCTACAAATGCTACAGGGAATGAGTTTGCATGTAAACCCCACTGCATCCCTGAGAAAGCTTCTGAGAAGACTGGGTGGGGGCTGATATGCCATCTACTGATTTACTGTTTCCTTGTGTGATTACAAATAAGTGTTAAGTAACCAGGGGCCATGTTAAAATGAGATAATATAGTGTTCCCTAAAATGTCAATGTAAGCCTTTCCAAAGCGAAAGCTGGACAGGCTCTGAAAAACAATAAACTGTACACCTCCTAACTTCCCCCAAGGCCTCCTCTCCCATTTTTATAAAGTCTTAGAGCAACAGGGGATGTGGGTACTTTCTAACTCCCCTGTGTCAGAGAGGGGACCCTGAGTGCATGTTTTCAGTCAATGGATGAGGCAGGAAGAGTCGCCCACCTCCAGCCCCCTGCAATGCTCCTGATCTTTCTGCCACCTCCCTGGTTGTCATGGGGTAGTAGGTGGCGGCAGTGAGAGGAGCGTCACGGGTGGGTGGGGAGGAGGTGCTGGTAACCAGATGCACTGGGGAGTGAAGTGGGGTGGAGGAGTGAGAGACAGTTAACTTCCCACTGCAAATTCTTAAGCAGAGAAGCTATTGTAGCAATAGTTTGGCTTCCAGTTTGAACGTTAAGCCAAAGTGGTCCATCTGCTTGCCATCAAAGCTTCCCAGATTGTTGCTTTTCTTTTCTTTCTTTTTCTTCCAGCTGCTAGGAAAGAGCATGTTCTTTTGTGGAGTCTGCATTGCTGGAACTTGACGACAGTCTCTTACCTTCAATGGCAACATAAACCCAATAAAGACAGGGTGGCAGGGGAAGAAATCCTTTTCTGAAATGAGAGAAGAGAGATTGCTGAAGAAAAGAGAATCCGTATCACTCTGTAGGAGAAAGACCCCCGTCTTTTCTACCTGGCTCCATCATTTCTTGTGGTCCACATTATGTTTGCCTTAATTACCAAGAACACACCCGACACCATTGGACCACTGCCTACCACAAATTGTGGGTGTCCACTTTTCTTCCTCGTTATAGGTTTACCCATCATCAAGCCAAAAGTAGAGGCTAAATTCTTTTCAGTTTGGTCCATGGAACCCAGGTTCTCGCTGCTGGATTTTATCAAGAGAGACACATCCACTGTGTCCCCTTCCTCCAGTTTAACAGCTCCTCATCCTGGGCCCTTGCATCCTGGCTTCTGTCTTCTCTCCTGTGGAAACTGCTCCTGTTAAGATCATCCTTGGTTTTATAATTGCGAACTATTTCAATGCTCACACTCATGAATTCCCCACAGCTCTGTCACTTTTCAGACAGAAACTGTCTCCTCCCCCTTTTTAAAATTCCTCTTTCTCCTCTACCTCCAGCCCCGGAAAGTTGGATGCATCCCACGGTTTTCTTTTTGTCTCCCTCTTGTCAGTTCCATCCACACTTACACTTTCACCATTTGCCTCCCCATTTCCAGAACTGACACTTAATTCTGTGCTTCTGAGTCCTTCTTTTCTACTGCCTGACAGGCCTCTCGAACACGTTATCCCGCAGGCAAGTCAAACTCCATATTTGTAACTGAACTTGCCTACTTTCCTTCTCAGCCTGTCACTCTTCTCTGTTCCCCATTTCCAAGGCACTCAGGGCCACCATTGATCATACCTTTAATCCACGCTCTTTCCAGTCCATTCCCATTTTCATTCCTCTACTGAGACACTTGACGCCTCTTGTCCAGGTCATTGTCATAAAGATGATGTTCTCTCTTTCGTGCCCCTCCCTACTCAAACATCACCAAATTTCACACACGACAGTTGGGGCGACCAAAGTCATAGCTGTGATTATGTAACTCTTCCTGCTCAGACACCTTGCATTAGGCTCTCCGTGAACTCTCAAAGTAGACCTTTTGCCTTAGCTTTTAAAATCCCATTGATGATCTGGTCCCAGTTTAGTTTTTTAGTTGTATCTCCTACCACCCAGTTAAAAACTTCAGTTTTTAATATCACAAAACATGTGATATTTCCTTCCTATGCCTTATATTTTTACGCTGCGTTCATTCTACTTTTCCTTGCTTTATTCTGTCTGTATCCCCTCCGAAAGCAGTAGGTACCCAATCCCACCTCGCCTTGGAAGATTCCACCTCTTTCATGAAGTCTATGCTGACTACCCCATTCTTTTTTCCATTCCAGAACATCTATTATTGTTTGTACTGATCAGTCTTGGCATTATCACACTTCAACTTATTTTAAGACAGGGATGTACAAGTTATCTGTTCTGCCAAACTCGTAGGAAACAGGGAAACTTGTCTTATGCATTTTTAAAACTTCCTCCAGCGTGTAACACATGACCTTCCTTGCCTAGTAGGTGTCCTGTTTGTTACAGAAATGGAATTCATCTGGATTTTTCTTCCCATACTTGGTTAACAATTAAAACTACCTTTATCTTCTTCCCTCCCACTCTTCTTCCTCCCCCTACCCCATTTATATATAAAACACAGACTGCTACCATATGGTGCCTTTCTAAACACACTCTTGTGGGAGAGGAAGAGACATGTTATTACAGACTACTGATCCTTTAGCTGTATGAAATGACAATTCTAACTTAACAGCAGATAGTTGGTTAAAGTTTGGCAGTTTAAATGATATTCTGCTGGACTATTTAACCTCTTTTACCAGGGAGTTGGTTGGTAGATACATACCACAAATATTGCATTATTTTAACTTGCATTATAAATATTGTAAAACTTTAATATGCAACACCCTATAACAACCTGGAAAATCAAAAGCCCATTGTGGGAGGTAGGTATAAAACTGGAAGGGACGTTTTTCTCCTTGCTTTAATATAATCAAAGTTGTTGTGTCAAAAATGTCATTTAGGTTCGATAGGTCAAATAAAGAATGAAAATGGGAAAAGTCAAGGCAAATTGTTCTGCATAATGAGCATATGACAAACTTCTGGTACTGACCAAGGAGAAGTATGCCTACTACCTTTTACCTATCCAGCTGATTAAAACTCAGCCTTTAGAAAGAAAACACTAGGCAACTATTTGAAGACTCAGAAAATCACACTAGTAGTCAGGCAGAGGAGGAAAGTCAAAACTTGAAGAACAGCCAGTACTAGTAATTTTCCTATTTTTCTCCTGCTATATGGCTCAGCTTTCATTCATGGAAGACCCTCAGTCTGAGAAGTGGAACTGTGCAAGAAGTGTGAAGAATAAAACCCAAAAGAAAGCCATCTTTCTTGTTCGAAGACCACTAAAAGAGGCCCCTGAAAGTCAGAGAAGACGGGATGAGGTCCCTGTTGGGTTGCGGTTTCCCTTTTTCTCACTCTTTTTCCTGGCCACACTGGAGGCTAGCCCCGGTCATGGTGCTACACTACCTACACCGGTGGTGGGGGGCTCATCCAGACCCCGAATGATAACCCACCTCTGTGGTCAGAGGAACTAGAAAAAATGGTCTCTGCAACCTTAACAGTGTGTAGGTGGGCATCCTTTTTGCTTGTTTTCTCTCTTTTACCCTCTTTATTCCAAATATGATCCCCCTCCCCACAGTCACATAAAACAATGCAACAGTATAAGGTTGAAAACCCAAAGAGGGACTACTCATCTTTCTGGCTAGAGGTATAGCTCCTTCAAAAAATATAGTCCACAAGCTAATAAATAAATCAAGAGAAAATAATA